TGTTTGCGCACTTTTTCCGTGGGTTGGTGTGGCGGGCGGGGGGGGGGCGGGCGGGGGGGGGGGGGGGGGGGCGGGAGGGAGGGAGGGAGAGAGAAATAGAGAAAGGATCCTTCAGGTTAATGGCTGGCCTCTATCATTTTCAGCACTAGGGAAGTAGAAACAGGTGGATCTCTTTGAGGTCAAGACCAGCTTGGTCTAAACAGCAGTTTGAGGCAAGCCAGGGATACATAGTGAGGCCCCCTCTCTAAACTTTTATTTGACTTATGTTTTATTTTTAAACTTTTGATAATTTTATACAAGCATGCAATATATTTTACCATGCCCACCCCTCTCTTCCTTCTCCTACTCTTGCTGACTCCTTTCCCCCAACTAGCCCTGACTTCTACTTTTGTTTATGTGTAGGGGTCACAGCTGCCTGGAGTCCATGATTGCAACAGTCATGTCACATCCAGAAGACAGGGTTTCATAGTCCTCATCTCCATCCTCTGGCTCTCAGGGTCTCTGGCCCCTCTTCTGGGCCGCTCTCTGGTTCTTGCAAGGAGTAATATAGAGCATAGCTGTCCCATTATAGGGCTGAGCACTGCAAACGTATTTATTCTCAGCACGTTGAGCAGTTCTAATGAACCTCTACATTAACTGTCACCCACTGCAAGAAGAAATTGCTCTGACCCAGATTAAGAGAAACACTAATTTATGGGTATAAATAAATATTTAGAGGACAATTTAGCTTCCTGTCTGTTTATCAAAATTATAGTATACTCTCTACAAGGGCCTGTGACCTCCCCAGCCATATGCTTTTGACCAAGATTTTAGTTCTAGGCAGGCATTCCTTGCCATGGAGTTGGACCTCAAAGACAAGCAGAAATATCTGGGGATCCCACAAACAGTCTTGCCACTATTGTACCACCAGCATATGTTGCCTAGAAGGTTTGCCTTATAAGACATGAGCCCACATCTTGGTAAGACCACTGAAAGCATTCTCCTGCAGTAACCTGCACATTGCCTTCTACCGTTATGAATGCTAACCAGCTAGGAGGAATCATCTATCCCTAACTTATTATTTTAAATATGATTATTTTAGCCAAGTCTCCCTGGATTCCAGAGACCCTTGTTCCGTGGCTAATGTGTCTATCTCTATTTGGACTATCTAGTGACTATGTCACATTTAACATGTTGAAAACAGACTTCCTGGTTAATCCCTCCAACTACCCCCTCCTATAGTCTTCTCTTCCTCAGTTAATAATAGCTCTGTCTGTCCACTGGGTCAGACCAACCAAGATGGACTCCTTGTTTTCTTACAAACTCAGGGCTCAATCTATTATGAATCATGGCTAGCACTATATTCTAAATGTGTCCAAAAATTGATCACTTTTCAACATCTCTGCTGCTACTTCTTGGTCTAAATTGGACTTATCTCTCACAAATTCAGCATCAGCTTGGCTCCATTGAGAATTCCAGGCCAGCTTAGGCTATAAGAGACTGTTGCAAAACTCTACTACTGATACAGGGTGTAGTTAGGTGGTAGAATGCTTGGCCTAGTATGCACAAGAGCCTAGGTTACATTCCAGAGAGTACTGAATGGATTAATGAACAAAATATAAGTCAAATCTCATCATTCTCTAGTCTGAATCCCCCAGTGCTTGCCATCCTCTGGCTCCCTGGGATTATCTCTTACATCACCTCAGTACCCTATCTCATTTTAGTAACTTCGAAGACTGGCCTATTTGCTATTCATTGAGAACCATCAGCCCCATGGCCTTTGCAGTGACTGTATCCTCTAATGAGCAACTGTCCCAGAAATCGGCCTAGCTCATTGCCTCACTTGCCTGACTTGCTTCAACATGGCCTGTTACTAATGAGCCTTCTCTTGACCACCCAGTTCAATACCTGGGGGACCCTGACCCAGCATGCCCAGTCACTCTTACTCTTTTCTCCTCTCCTTCCCCTCTCCAGTAGTATTTGTTCTTTTATGACATAATGCATAATTGCTATTGACTAAAGTGTAATTCTACAAGGGCCCTAACAAGTTTCTTGTTGCCCAAGCTTTCTGGTATGGGCAGGTGTTTCTTGGGAGTACCACTCCATTACCTGGTACATGGGATTTTTTTGCTTGTTTGTTTGTTTGTTTTGGTTTTGTTTGTTTGTGTTTGTTTTTCTATTAAAACAACCTGCTTAGAAGTTAGGATCTGACCTGAATGGTTCCAACTCACTGGAAATTAAGATGAATACATCACTTCTCCCAAAGATGCTTACTTACCAAATCTTGAGTTCAGTGGCAAAAAACATAACCTTGTTCCTTGTGAAAAGAGATGGGTGTGTGGAGTGTTTGAATAAAGGCCTGTTTTCTCACTTTGTTATAATCTTTTTAAATACCTATGATGCCTTTACTTTACAAAAACTGGTGACAGTCATGCTTACCCCAGTTCTTTGATGGAACACAAGGATTTGAAGTCTAGAAACAGAAAAATGAGTCAGCTCCACCTGTTTTTTCAAAAGAAAATTAGAATAGAGCAATTGTGTATTTGTGTATTGTTGAGGGTGATTGATTTTCCTATGTAATGGCAGAGGTAAGCAATTATGACCAACTTATGCCTGTAAAATCTCAGGTGTTCACTATCTGGCTTTTTTTTCGCAAACAAAATTTGCTAAATCATGTTATACAGGAATCCTGCTAGCTGAAGGAGTGACCTTATCACATGGACTTGGTTTTAGCAGCTGTATTGCACAGATACTGAACCATATACTAGGGTTGGAAGCAAAGGATGAAGAAGGAGTAACTTTATGGATACTTTACAGTTTTCTCTTCGATTTTATTTTTAATACTTGTTCAATAAAATCTTATCACAAGAAATAGCATAGAGAGATGCTAAAAGAAGTCACAACACCCATACACCACACCCCAATATCGTACAACTAACATTCTCTTGAAACAGAATTTGTCATGACTCTATTTGCCCATCAATCACATTATTGTTGTTCTTGCTAATGGTACCTTC